TTAAAGTTCATTCAAATCTATAGTGATTGAGATATTAGAAGTTAAATAAGGAAAGATGGAACCGACAACAACATAATCATTCAATTCAGTTTATCACCAGTTCACTCCAACTTTTACTAGTTTAATCCAGTTGATACTGATTTACTCCATAACTAGTTTAGTACTCAAACCAGATAGGACCACAAGTTGCCAGTCTGGTCCAATTTTTTTCCCTTTATTTTTTTCACTTTAGAATCAGTACTTGTCTATATTGATCCCATGTCTAATATATGGAATTTTTAGCTTGCACAATGCTCAAATTAGTGCTTTTCTTGCCTTATTTGATTTCATCTTGGGATGCCTATCGCTGATTTCTTGACTCTTGTTTTTATATCTAAATATTTACAGCAAGCAATTTAGTGCAAATAACACTAGTGATGACGAGTGGAAGCCACCACAGCAACTAGTGAGACATTGTATTCGTGTTCCTGAATATTGTTTACAATAATTAGTATTGTCATTGTTTTGTAATGTTGTACTGTTTGACTGACTAATTGGGCTATATGATTTTCAATTAAAGCTAATTAATTTTCTTGATTTTTTTTTCCTTATTTCATTTCCTCATTTGACTGAGTGGACTTTAATTTACAATGGTCATTTGTTATTGTATGTAAATATGTATTATAGACTTTTGGAAAAAAATTTTACAAATTTACAAATATTTGATTTGGACAATTATAAATTGATGAATTTTAACTGCAGATACGGCATTTAGGGCATTTAAGTTTGAAATGCAACTTTTAATTTACAATTGGGAATCCTATTTGCAAATGTCTCAATATTTTTCAGAAATTTTTTTAAGGATCCAATTATCGTTAATTTATTTTTTCAGCACTAAAATGTCATTCTTTCCACCAAAAAAAAATTATGATTTTCGTCTCTTGGGTTGGGTCAAATGATTATCAATCCATTACCAATAATTAGAGTGGAATTATCTTTAATTTAATTACTTATCTCAACGTTCAACGATGAAAAGCTTGGACCATATTTTATATATATATATAATTAACCGTGCCTTCTATATCATTGGTCCATCATCTCAGGACAAATTAAAAATTCTGATTCTTGATCTGATATGATGGAGCAGCAAAACTTCAAATCAAGAATCAAACTCTAGTCAAAACTTGAAGCCATATAAAATGTAATTTTTATTTTTCAAAAAAAAAAATTCATTGCTTCAACTCCAACTCGAGAATGGCAATCTCTTTTATGAAGATTCCTAACTTGTTCATTCATGTTAGAATAGACAAAAGCCAAAGAAAGAAATCATAGCATCCTAATAAAGAATAAATCAATGTCCATCTCATCAAAGAAAAATAAGGATAAAGTAAATTAGATGCTTCAATTTACTTTTCAAATTAAAGAAATAAAGGGATCATCATCATCGTTTCAAATCCTATCCATTTGCATCATCAACTGTCTCATGCAAACTCATAAAATATTACAATCACTTGGTGTACGAGGTGAGCCCAAACTATCACACGTGGTCTTCCTTCATTTTGATGAGGGAAAAATATTTATTGAATAAAAACTCTAACTTCAGCATTTTGCTGTTTGATTTTGGATTAAATGCAAACTTAATTAGCATTGTTTGAAAAGACGAGAGGGACAAATATGGAGAAACCAGGAGATATCATATGGGATATAACAAGGAATCTGTGTGTTGGCGCCAAAAAAGAGGCTGAGTTTATTTATGAGTTGGAAGAGAGTCTGTAATCTCTGAATCATAAATGGAAAAGCCTTCAAACTATGAAGAAAGGCGTGGAAGCTCAAATTGAAAAAGCTAAGAGTAGCAGAGAGGGGAAAAGGACACATGAAGTCAGTGTTTGGCTCTAAAGTATCCAAAATATTCAAGAGGTACTCTTCGATTAATACATCTATTCTTTTTTTTCCCATTTATTTAGTATGTGGTGTTTTTATTTATTTGATTGTATCTGTTCATGAATTAGATAATTTCCAAATTCAACATCAATAATGTTAATTAAGTAATTCAAGTTCTAAATGCTTTGCCCAATGGTTTCTCTTGAGTTAATTTAAATTTGTTAATTAGTTGTAAATCGAAAGTGCTCTAAACCATTTTTTTTTCAAAAAAAAATTCTGGTCAAATCAAGCTAAGCACTTGTAAAAATTTTGGATAACTGTGAAACATATTTTATATTGAATTTATTTGAAACTTCATCACAATATAAAAACATTATGCTCATAGCTACGTGTTCTCTAATCAGGTGTCCATTTTTTTTTCAATCAAATTGGACAGCTTGTAAAATGGATATAAATAAATTAAGAAGGTATTTGGATAAAAACCAAACTATAGTTTTAGAAGTGTTTTTACAGTTTACAAAATAAATATGTAAAAAAATTTGTCTCGTTTTATGAAAAAGTACTTCTAAAACTATAGTTTGGAGGTTACCAAAAGCCACCTAAATCAACTTGTTACGGATGCGATATTTTTTTTAAGGGATAAGGTCTAAGATTCCCCAGTCTTGTCGATCGATCACACACTCACACACAAACCGCTGGAATTCTCCCCTGATTCCCTTAGAAGAATCTCTCTCACCCCCAATCAGGTCCAGTATCGATCCGAATCGCTGGGAGAAGCTTCAGATGCCGCACAGGATCGGTCAGGAGGTTGCTTGTGTATGGAATGGGGGACAGTAAATGACTCTTCAAATTCCATTCATGGACTTGGATCTGGCCTTTCTTCTTTGCTATTTTGTGTCTGCATGCCTTTCCTTTTCACTGTCCTATCAGACAATGTTCGCTTGAATGGCTAGATGATAAATCCATTTCTTTTTAATTTTAATATTTTTATTTCTCGCAATCTATGCTTGTGCATAGTGATTCTCGTCGGTTCTGCTGCATGTCGGTCTTGAGAAAAGGAGAGGAAAAACGGCCAATATTGGCACAGATCAGGGCTCATGCAGGAGCAATTAAAGTATGATTCTTTCAACTGGATCTTGTTCTTATTTTTTGTTTACTTATTATGTACAGTGCTCTAACAATTTATTTTACTCAATTAGGCTGCATATCTGTTCAAGGGTGCTATAATTAACGGAGAGATTGGTGAGTCACTGGATTACCATTTTTCTATACTGAATTACAGTAGCATCAGTAAAGGATATTGCTTTCTGGAGTTTCCTGCCTTCCGGAAGAGCCTTTGGTGTCATTAGATTCTTATCTGTTAGATTTTTGCATTTTGCTGCACTTTTATAAAGTATAATCTGCGTGAAATTTATTTTTGCGTTTCTGTATTTTTGAGTTAGCTGTAGTGGCTGTTCATGGATCTTTCCTTCATTTAGACAGCTAATAAGGCACTTAAATCCAACAAGTGTTTGATAAAATTGATTATTGTTTGGTATATCGCTTAAGTGTCCTCTGCATGTGGGACTGGAAAACCTTTAGCTTTGAACCATTTAGTTATCATGATGTCACTAATTCATACTATTGTTCGGTCTTTCATGAGGAGAAGATGCATTGTAGCTTTAAATGACGTAAATATGAGCAAAAATCGTTATACAGATGTCCTACCATGTGAAAATGAAATAAAAATGAGCAGAAACGTATGAGTTCCTTGCGTGCAGACCTCTTCCTCTGGACGTCTTTCTCAGTCTATAGCTACGCAAGGTCCACTATCACATGTTCACATACTTATGGGGATTTCTGGGAAATGGTGACCACCCAATACCGTTCATCTCATATTCTAACCATTAGTTTTACTTGCTTATCATCAGTTTGAATATTTGTTTTAACTTCTGTGTTCTTTGCTGTTACCCAATAAATTTTTATATGGACTTAAATTTATTAGTTTATGATTTGGCTCCTGCCAAAATGAAATGTACTTTAATGGTTTAGGAGCATGTCACTTAAATAGATTTTGTGATGCACTTTTGGAATTGAAGCAATTTGATATAGCCAGAAAGTCATATTTGGCACCTACAGATGTAGATCCTTCAATCCGAAGATCTAAATCATTCAAGGTGGCATTCAATCTTTACACCAACTAACCATTTAGATGTTTAAATCACTTATTTCATTTATGTAATAACTATTTGCATCCCTGTCTATTGAATTTTGCTAGAGGTTGATGTGGCAAGACTTGAGATAACTTTTTATTATTTCCCGTGGTCGAGGGATGGCTTCTATTACTAGTTTCCCGTGGCAGTATAATTATTAATCATTGATAGTTAGATATCCTTTAAAGATAATCGATCAAGCTTAATCTTGTGGAAATTGAATCCATCACTTCTGTTCTTTGATGCATGGATAAAGCCATCACTTCTTTCTTTTTATGCTTTGGTTTTGCTGGCACGGACAGCAAAACTTGAGGAAGAAGTTGTTGCTGCTAATAAGTTGTGAGACGTACCTTCTGAATAAAGGTGCAATCTAATTACACTGACTTCATGGTGATTTGATCACCATTTTCCAGGTATAATGGGTCACATGTGCCAGATTTAAGTTAGCTGTCTCGAATCTCCTTGATTTTGTCAAGCTTTATGATGCATTCTGAAGTACCTCCAAAAAAAATTCCATGTATTTTCTCCAGCTTTGTTCTTCCTAAGCAATATCTAGCTTTACTATTACTTTAGTGAAAGAAAAATCCGGATATGGGTAGGTGTATATATAGAATGTCCCCTCCCCCAAAAATATTGGAAATTGGCGTCCTCAGGCCTTCAAGTAACACAGACTTATGAAATAGTGAAATGATTGCCTGTTAAAATGACTTAGATACCTGCTTTTATTGAACTATTTGATCACACAAGACACATTCTTTTTGCTACATTTCGGGGGTCACCTGTCAATATATTGCACATTACAGGGAAGAAAGATTGTTTCTCAAATTTGTGTATCTATGCTGTACTGAGACGCATGTGTGAACCAAGATGTGAATGACCTGCTTGTATAGGGTATACATATCTTCGTGAATTTCTGCAAATTTTTTATGTTAATGTGGGCATGTGTAGATTCGCATTGTCCAGGAAGGTGTTGGTAAATTCGGCAATTTGATCGGTTTAGTTTTAGTGTATTATCCTGACAGTGAATCAGCCAGGAGTCTAGCATTGGAGGTTACGGAAAAGGTATGTGCTTAATTTGAGTAACGATATTACTATTATTTACTTTGTTTAGTCAATATTTATTTTACTTGACCTTTTTAATAATAAGCTACTTCTGTAGCACATCTTTTTGGTTGGTTTATGGATCTATCATGCTTGGAGTCCTTGAATATGTACTTAACTTTTGTAGGGTCCTTAGAAGGGACGTGCAATCCTTAAACTCTAAATGACGGGTACGATAGATAACTAAAGGAATATTTATTGGTTCCTAGGAATGGGCTGACCATTGGATTTGAACAGACACATTAGGCCTGTTGTTCCTACTGGGCTTCCATTCGCTCTGAGGGATTTCTTAGATAGTGCCTTAATCCTCTATGGTCTACATACACTGTTGCTGATGTATTCTTTTGCTTGACCGAAATATCATCTGTAATTATTCTTACTGTATTTTACAGTGAATAGAAGATATTTTGAGAATACCTCACTTTATTTCCTTCTATAATGCCAGGTATTGCTACGTATGTTGAATGGAGTGCGAATATGATGGAAGAAGATGCAAAGCGGAGGTTGAATAATGCAGAACTTCAGGCAAAGAGCAGGTGGCTTTTACTGGGAAGCATGGAACTAGGATAGTTTGTGCAAGCATGAACGAGGAAGATTCTAAAGATTGCAACTCCCTTTGATGGTAAATATTAAGGATAATAAGGGAGTTTTCGCACGGCATTCACTGTCCATGTAAGGGTGAATTACATACAATAAAAAGGATCAACATGATGAAAGCTCCTGATTTTATATCAGTTTGGATTATCTCTGCCTAGATTCAAAGAGAAGTGTTTACTCTATTAGCCCAATACTTTTGGGAAAGCTATAACGTTGAACACATCAAGAGTGCAGGGGGATTTTTCACATTGAAAAGTGAAGGTGTAAAATTTCCTGAATACAAAGCTTAATTTCATTGTTAATTATTCTTTTCAATAGAAACCTGGCTTTTAGTGGTTCATGATTTTCTTGCTTGTCCTTTATAAGGTATTTAAGGTAGGAGGATTTACATCCTATATAAGTTTATGGATTATGGAAGTTATCTACTAAAGAAATATGAATAGAAATGACTCAGTTAGATTTTAACTGAAGAATTTTAAATCTAATTAAGTTTGAAACATCACTTTTAATTTGCAATTGAGAATCCTATTTGTAAATGCCTCAATATTTTTTAGAATTTTTAGAAGAACCAATTATCATTAATTTATTCTTTCAGGGATTTAAATGTCATTCTCTCACAAATAATATATTGTGATTCTTGTCTCTTGAGTTGAGTGTAAAGATTATCATTCCATTACCAACAATAGAGTGAGACTAGACTATTAAGGGTGAGGTCTAGCAGAAGAAGCTGATCTCTCTCATAACGTGATGAACTCATATTTAGTACTTGACCGTATGTCTAACAAGATTACTTCTAAGAAAAAGATACTCGTGAGCAATTAAAAAAAAAAATATAGTGGGACTATCTTTAATTTAATTATTTATCTCAATGTGTACCGATGAAAAGCTTAGATGCATATAGTGTGTGTGTAAGAATTAACAATGCCTTCTGGTCCGGTCATTGCAGTGGAAATTAAAAATTTCTGATTCTTGACCTGATCTAATCGAGCACCAAAACTTTAAATTAAGAATCAAACTCTCTAATCAAAACTTGAAAGCCATAGAAAACGTAATTTTTAATTTTTTAAAAGCAAAAAAAAAAAAATCATTGCTTCACTCCAACTTGTGAATGGCAATATTCTGAAAGATGATTCCTGACTTGTTCATTAATGTGAGAATAAACAAAAGCAAAAGAAAGAAATCATAGCATCCAAGAGAATAAATCAATGTCCATCTCAAATAAAAATAAAAATCCAGTAAGGAATTAGATGCTTCAATTTACTTTTTAAAATGAAAGAAACAAAGGAATCATCATCATCATCATTTCAAATCCTATTAATCTGCATCATCAGCTGTCATGCAAACTCATGAATAATATTGCAGTCTCTTTGGTGTACGAGGTAAGCCCAAACTATCATACATGTGGTGTTCTTTCATTTTGAAGGGGGGAAAGACAAAGAAATGGCAAAATATTTATGAAAAAAAAACCCTAACTTTAGCATTTTGCTGTGTGATTTTGGATCAAATGCAGGCTTAGCATCGTTTGAAAGATCAAAAGTGAGAGGCGGATATGGAGAAACTGGGAGATATCATATGGATATAACAAGAATTAGTGTGTTTGCACCAAACAAGAAGCAAAGTTTATTTATGATTTGGAAAAGAATCTGCAACCTCTGAATCATAAATGGAAAAGCCTTGGACCTGTGAAAAGCATGTCAGTCTACTCTTCAAAAATTACTAAGCTAAATGTAGAAATGGAGTCTAGCCTAGGTCAAGGCTCAAGAAGCCTAATTTGTTGCAGTTCCTAACCAGTCCAATTAAACACACATTATCAAATTAACAAGTATGGGTTTCTATTGCAATGTAATTTTTTTTTTTTTTTTAGATTATAGTTTCTATCTAAGAAGAGAGACCTCACAGCTATTATTTCTGAAATTTACAAACGAATGTAAAAACAAAGGAACTAAAGTAAATAGAAAACTAGTGAACAGAAAATGTTGCCGACAATGATTGATAATGCTTCTGTGGAGATAGCTTATGACCTTCCTGGTTTTATGAAACTAAGAGTTCAATAGTTGAATCATCAATTAATCCACAACTCGTAGATTGGATCAGTGCCTAACTGCTACTCGCAAGACATTAACACTGAGTGCGAAATGTTCAACCTAGGGGAACCTAACCAGAGGATCCATTCTTCTATGACAAACACAGCCTTGCATTCATCCAGAAATTAATTGAATCAATTGAGAACATCACCCAACTCGGTTGAGGTAACAATTATATCCAAATTAAAGAAGAAAGAAGAAGTAAATTCAACTCGAATCCACAGAGGTCTCTGGCTAAGCAAGCCCACAGATCTTGAGAGTTCAGTTCCAGATTTACGAAATAAATCTAGCATAAGAATTAAAGCATACAACTCGCATACTCAAATCAGATGTCTAGTCTGAATCTCCGAAGATCATCGAACTCTTTCTCACTGATGCTCAGAAGCTCAGATCCAGCACCTCTCCCTAAATACACAGTGTCTAGCCTCGCATCACAGAGGGGGAACAGCTACTGAGTATGAAATAGCAGGTGCCATGGAAGGATCAGAACGAAGATTGAGATGATGAGAGGAAAGAAAAATGACGGTGCAGGGAAGAGATCAGCAGGACGGAAAGAAAGATGATGATCAATTCATTCCCACTTGCCAGCTCATAAAACCAATCAATCATCCTCCTGCCCAACCGTCCATAACAGAATCCTCTTCCACCTAGCTCTTCATCAAAACGCAGCACTTCATTAGTCAAAGTCTTCATCCAATTCTTTTGGGCTGGGCTTGAGCCTTCATATCTTTAATTTTCGGCCTAAGACCTGATAGAAACACATAAAATGAGTAACTGGTTTTTTCATCCAAAAACAAAAATAGGAGTAACTGGTTCACAGCATCAAAAATACTATAAAAAATGATACTCAGTTCCTAATTTGATCAATCATTTTTTTTATTTATTTTGTCACAAAAAAATAGCTTTTAATCATAAAATTACCATTTGATCTTACAAATTAGACTAAGAATTCACTGCACATAAGTGTTTATCAATGTAAAAGCACAAATTGAAGAAGCTGAGAGCAGCAGAGAGACGCAAAGGACACATGAAGTTGGTGTTTGGCTCGAAAGTATCCAAAACATCAAAGAGATACTCTTCATTGATACATCTTTTATTCTTCCTCCTATTTAGTATGTGGTGTTTTTATTTATTTCGTTGCTTGTGTTCATGAATTAGATAATTTCCAAATTCAGTATCAATAATGTTGTTAATTAAGTAATTCAATTTCTAAATACATAGCTCATAGTTTCTCATGAGTTAATTTAAATTTGTTAGTAGTAAATCGAAAGTGATATAGACGTTTTGAAACAAAGTGTTCAAACCAAGCTAGTTAAGCACTTTTAAAAATTCTGGATAAGTGTGAAACTTATATTATATTGAAATTATATATTTGAAACTTGATCACAGTATAAAAACGTTATGCTCACATTTACATGTTCTCTATTTGAAGTATTCCTTTAGTTATGTATTTAATAGTACAGAAAAGATAATCAGGTATACATTTTTTTTCTAATTAAATTAATTTATACTTTTCTTTTAACTGAAAATAAATGGACAGCTAGTAATATGGATACTGATAGATCAAGTTTTTATATATGTTATGTACGCAATGTTGCAGATATAACATGCACATTTTCAAATTTTAAGTTTTATGCTAATATAAGGTAATGTTGTTTACTTGATTAGGTTCTTAAGAGTCCATTACAGTCCCTCCGGGGACATCCGATAAGAATCCAATTATAAGTGGTTAATCCATGGGCCAGTCAATCAATGAGTGAAAACCATAAAAATGGCACAATATTAAAGACAAATAGATAAAAGCAAAGAAGCAAAAAGAAATTAAAAAAAAGGCTTTGAAATTAACATAGTTAAAAAAAAAAAACAAATTAGCATTCAGCTATATGTTATGAGTCTTAAGCATCATCTTCTTCAAAATTACTATTCCTCCGGTCCTAATTATAAGACCCAATTGACTTATTTGAGGAGATTAAGGAAGTAAGTTAAGTTGGTTATTTATAATAAATAAGTGTTGTCATTCCTAAAATATCCTTGCTAATTTGAGGACCGGAGGAGTAGTTTTTTTTTTCCAACTAAGAAACAAGCATTTCCAAGAATATAAGGACATATATCATGGAGCATTAATATTAAAGGAAGAAAACATATTGTATTTTATATTTTATTGGAGATAATATTAATTACTTAGTTTAGTCGTGAAAGTTGTCTTTTTTTTTTTTATTAATGTGCAAATTATGTAACAAATTAAGCCTTATATTTAGGATTGGAGGTACTATAAAATTAATGCCAATCGTATAATTTTAATGAATGTTTAATTCATTGTCCTCATTATTTTGTCTAATTTTATTTTGACCACTCTTTTTAATTGATTTCTTGCAATGTTAAATTGTTTTCAACTAGTAACATGCTAATATTATTCAATATATATATAACAAATTAATTTGGTTCAGTAGTACAGTACACATAGGTTGGCGAAAAAAAAAAAGTAGTATTGTACATAGGCAAAAACTCTTTTTTCCAAATTCCGTCAAAGATTTATTTATTTAGGGTGTGCTTGGATTAGCAGTGGGAGAAATTACTTTTTTTTTCAGTCTGAATTTTGCCATAGTCAAATGAGGTAAGAATCAGGTAGTGTAATATGATTTATATTTAAATTGATTTTTGTTATAAAAAAAAACCAGTTTACTAAGATGAAACTTGTTTAGATAATTAATAAAAAAGTATGTTTAGATGTAAAATGATAAAAAAAAACATAAATTTTATTATATATAGTATATGTGTATAATGTGATAATTTTAAGAAAAATGTTGAAAATCCAAATCATAAAAATAAAAGGATTTGATGTATTATTGAAAAAGCTATAAAATATTTCTTATTTTAATTATTATTTTT